GCAACAGCAACAGCAACAGCAACAGCAACAGCAACAGCAACAGCAACAGCAACAGCAACAGCAACAGCAACAGCAACAGCAACAGCAACAGCAACAGCAACAGCAACAGCAACAGCAACAGCAACAGCAACAGCAACAGCAACAGCAACAGCAAAAAGATGGACAGGGCAGGAAGTACAAAAAAAACACAAGAAATAAATGTCTTGAAACTTACTCCCAAAATTCATTGGTCGGTGTTGTAGTATTTAGAAAATGTAAGTACTTGGTGGTGTAGTTAAGTGTGCCGTTTATGGACACATTGTAGGCTACAACCTTTTCCCCTAAAAAACACGACGCCGTGTTCCAATCGTTGTTGCAATGAGACCATGGCAAAGTCGTTGTAAATGAGTGGAATAAATAGAAGAAAGTCCAGGCAAGGATTATGATGTAGTAAATTATCACATAGAGATTAACAACCAAACCAGAGATGCCAATGCCTGTAAGTTAATTTAAAATATATGCTTTTTTACCACTGTCTCGTATTGCATGCATTTCCTTTACAAAAAACAATAGTACTTCTATTAAAAGCATTGCGAGATTTKAAATGCTGCATTTGAGGACTCTTTTAGGCAAAGCAACATTCCAAGAGCACTGTATATTATAATTTTGGCAGACGTTCATATCCGAACCAGTGAATCTTCKTAGATAAAATGCAGCGACAAAAAAAAGTAAAAAACAAGTCAGAAGAAAGACAAGAAAGGCMGTTCCATGGCAATATTTTAATATGTAGCTACAAATGCCCTTTCAGACCTACAATCGTCTCAAATTGGCGCACTGGTTATTACATCTTTTTATATAGTAGAGTTTCTCGATATTCAGCATACCTTGTAAAATGGGACAGATTTTCCATGCTGTAATGCATCCTTGGCTCATCCATTGTCCCATGGCAGTTTCCAACACTAGCAAAGGYACACCAGCAAATACAACGCAGAGAAGATACGGTATCAAGAAACACCCTTTAAGAATACAAACGAATCAATGAGTAAGTAATAATATTTATAATTATTATCATTATACTTTAATCATACCTCCTCCATTTTTATAGCACAAATACGGAAAACGCCAAACGTTTCCGAGTCCAACAGAGCACCCAATTAACGCGAGCAAAAAGTCAAGTGTACTGACCCATGTTTCTCGCTCGTTAACCATGACCCTTTTGAGTAGCTACAATTTTTTTCTGCATCCAAATGAACCTGCAAAGGACTTTTTAAGTTCAAACTCTATAAGGAATAGTCAAGATAGTGTTTCAGTAGTGTTCAAACTGTTTAACGAATTGTCAATAGTGTTTCAGTGAGCGTGAAAGCAAAAGCTTGTGGCAAAATAGAATCATGCGCAACGGGGAAACATAGAGCGGATTTCGTATGACTGTGCAACGGCACGGATCACAACACGGACACGGCACGGTCACGGAACCTAGCCTTGTAGGATTCCAAATGAAAATAAAGATTTAGCAATGCATCACCGCTACGGCACGGATCACAACACGAACACGGCACGGCGACTCTCGGACAATCAAAGCGCGCATATACTATAAAAACTATAATATGAATAAACATAATTAAAATTATTCTATAATGACATAGCTTTACCATTAGATTTTGTTTCACAGGTTTAATGACATCCCTTGCGAGTGGTTCTACTTTTTTATATAAATTCAATTTCTCTCACAGTAAAATATAATTAGAAATGCATCTTGCTATCACATGGTTATAGCTTGAGGCGATACTGGACTAACACGAGGCTTGAGAGGTCTACATGTGAACCATTCAAACGCAATTTGAGGCGTTAAGTGCAGAAATTAGAATGGCTTTCAATGAGACATGAACTGAAAAGACAACTCTTTTTGAGCTAATTATAAATGCAATAAATGGAAACATATAGAAGCTAAACAAACCTCGATCTTTATGCATGAGCGCATGCTATCTAATTCCACAATGAAAAATCTACATATTTGTTTTGTAAAAGCAATATAGGGAAGATAACGCTAGAAAAAAACACAGTACCTGAATAAAAACCACTAGACTTAGGAACTGTTAGACTTTCTATTATATGCRTTGTAGTTCTTTAGATTTTAAGCATTCGTTGTCTGCATTTGTGATCGCTTATACCTCGTGGTACTACTTGTTTGTAGCTATACATTGTTTATATTTGCTTTCGCCATATATATTACCTTAGTTATAGTAGCAGCAGCGCTTTCTTGTCAATTAAAATCGCCCCAACAAGGCCTCTAAAAGTGGATTCGTTCCAGGAGACTTAAAAACCTATAGCTTGAAGAACTTGTGTTGTCAACCAAAGCCCTTGAGAAAGACTTCACTTGGCCAGAAGCTCTCGTTCGTGACGACTGGCAAAGAACTAATGTGTTTGATTGTTTCAGTGGTTTCGTCTCTAACAGCGTGACGTTTTTGTTATTGGCCTTTATTGGCGTATATTGTCACAGTTAACCCAGGCTCAATTAAGTAAGTATAAAGTATGTCGCACAATAGTTTTTTTTCCATTTTATTCTCTTATAAAACTTGGTATACTCGACGGACCTTCTAAAAAGATAACGGAAGATCACTGAGGCTAAACGCTTTCTTTTGTTTTGTTTTAATTTATTCCTTTTCACTACATTCAAATGTTCTATTTTGGAATAAGGCTAGCATAAAAAAATTAGGTGTCGATAATAAACTTGTTAACTTTTTKATTTATTGTATAAATTCACTCTTTATAAACAAAGCCAGAAAAAAAAAGCATATTAATCTTTAACCCAACTACAGCACAAAGCACATAGCAACAGAACAAAAAACGCCCCCCCCCCCCCTAAAAAAAGATTGTAATACTGGAAAAGTTGAAGAAACTAATTTTTGTAGAAATTTATATCATGTTCATTTAGTCGACTATTCTCTCGTACTCTTCACGACCTGGAGGGAGGACTGGAGTCTTAAGCAACTTGATCCGCTGAAATAGATAAAGGGTCTGGATGAAGAAGTCAAACTCAATCAACCAACCAACCGACCAACCAACCAACCCACCGACCGACCGACCGAACGGCTTATCGACCAAACGACCAAACGACCAACCAACCAACCAATCAGCATTCATGTTACGTGAATTTAGATGAATTGTTGAATAACCATTATCAGGCCACAACTGCGTGGCAGACCGCTCTATAAAATACTCCTTCTCTATCAAACACTTTTAACAATGAATTTTTAACAAACAATTCTTTTTATTTTGTTTTATACATATGAAATAAACTTACTGTRCGTATATCTCCCTTAGTAGTGATCAGTTTGTAGACAGCAAAGATAGGGATCCAGACCATTGAAGATAATGCTAAACACCAACCAATTGCCTCACCCCAGTCGGGGTAGTGATAGGTATTGTTATACACTAGAGGCTGATAGGTTGCTATAAGGAATATGAAAACTCCCTATGTATAAAAAAAAAACAACAAACAAACAAACTTATGGATTGTTAATTTAAAAGATAAACAGAAAAACGCTCAATGCACCATGCCTAATTTCGGTCGTGTAATTGCCATTCACCATCATTTKTTCGCAACCTTTTTTGAAAAAGGCATACACCTCCTTGCAAAAAGTTGTCATATAGAAAATAGGACATTTGTATTTAGTAAAAAGGAATAAATTAAAAAGACAAAGGAAGATCACTGAGGCTGAACGCTTTCTTTTGTCTTGTTTTAATTTATTCCTTTTTGCTAAATTCAAATGTTCTATTTAATAATACCCGCACAACTAAAGGATTGTCGGACGCATCTCGAATCTAGACAACACTTAGTAATACTTCAAGAAAGACTTGTATTCCCTTAATTATGTTTAAACTAATTTGGAAAAATAAGAGAACAGTTCATTTATTCATATTTCTCTTACCACACAGAAAGCAGGCGTCAGGGYCAGCCAGCAGATCTTTAAATAAGGGCTCAAACGAAATCCGATCATCTCCTCTAAGTTTCGGCGGAATCGTTCTGCTCCTGAAATTGAACACAGTGAAATCTCTATTAAGCGGCMCTCTATTTAGCGGTCAACCTCCATTAAGCGGTCACTGACAAGTTTCCCGAAACCTGGCTGTCATATATTTTCTTGGCATATATTTTTAACTTGACCTCTATTAAACGGCCATATAAACTGACCGYTTAATAGAGGTTCAACTTTATGCTATTGACGAATCTGTCAATGGTCATATATAGAGTTCAGTACATTGCAMGCTAATTTGCTTAACCATTCAACCAATRACATTCTCCTTCGCAAACAATCCATATAACATTTTATAAGGACTTCATTAATTGTGGGATRGCGTTATTTCCATTCGTATAACCGACGGCTCATGATAAAAGATTGTACTRACATGTAGAATAATGCTGAACTTAGATTCTTACCGTAGACCCATCCAATTGAAATGGCCTCGAAAGTGCACACCCACAATATAGCAATTCCACTTACAGCATAGGAGTCAAAGAGCTGGAACACATATATACCACCCTGAAATGTTGAAAAATGCATTTGTATTGATTACTTTGTGCAAGTAGCTAGCATATCCTAATCTAAAGGTACCCACATCTAGGAATATAGAAATGGTTATAATTCAGAAAGCATAAATGAGAAACAACAATGCCACAAAGATGCTAGAGAGTCGGTCTATCWCCGCTATCGGCCTGGCCATGGTTCCTGGTTTGATTGCCCTGGGGCGTGTACAGGGGAGGGAAGAGGAGGGGGAGCGGTTAGTAATATTTTGGGAATGTTTATTGTTCATTGACCAATCAGAAGCAAGATTGAACGTCATCAACTGCATTTTCACGTGCAAATTTAATCAAAACTTCAACGTTGCAAATAAATAAAACTAGTTTATTGAAAAAAACAGCCTCTGAAAGCTCACAAACAGTTCAATTTTGTTGTTTAGAATAAACACAAACTTTGTCAATTTATGCTTTTCATCATGTTTTTCTTGTTTGTCAGCTAAAGTTACTTTTCAAGTACACATTCCCGAATGATTTCTAGGCGGACACGGTTTTTCAATTCGCACTGTAAAAAGAGCTCTGTCGCACTAATACGAAGCAATAGACTTCTAAACCTTTCACGTCACCACTTGATTTCCAATGCATTGTGGGATCAGCTTCTAAAGAAAGCAAAAGAAATCCGCCATGTTCTGTCCCAAACATACTCCTACAATGCATTGCGTGTACGGCACATGACGTATAAGGTTCAAAGGTCTATTTGAATAAACTGTTACCTGGCTGACCATGGTCAAACCAATGAGAAAAAATATAGCACATATGGCTGCAGAGAAGATCTCCTTGCGATATCCACGTCTGATGTAGATATGGAAAATATCAACAATGGCTGTTATCAATCCTTCAAGAGACGCGAACTAAAAACAAAAGAGTTCCAATATTTTCATCTATTATGTGTAGAACAACAAAGTCATTTGCATGTATCATATTTGGAATTTCTTTGAAAAGGGAACATAAAGTTCAAAAACATGTTTACAGTGTCAAAAAGTAACATTTAATTCGCTATTYATCTAATKTTTATGTCTTTACAACTATGTTAATAAGATTAACTTATTAGAAAAGGAAGGCTGAATGACTATGCAGGACTTATTACTAGTACCAGTTTTCCTTCCCAAGGTTGTTTAGCCAAGGGCGCTAGAAYWGAAATTATGACCTATAAGATCCAAAAATTGCTTAATTTATCCAACAAAAGATAGTCGATAATAAAKTRTAAAGTTYTACKTATCTGAAATATACACTGAAATGTCCTCTTAGACACTAAAAAGCACTTGATTTTACGAAATTCATCCAAATGATCGTTACTCAAACTCTCAAGCGGTTGTTGCTGAATTTATTACCGCTGTCCCTGTTGTACCAGCCACTTCTGTCTCGCCAGGAACGTTATTCATTAACCGGATTAAAATCACTTTGCYSGGCTTGAGTAACGATCATTTATTATACGGGGGTCCGACGTTAACAGGAAAGTTACCTCAAAGAAGTCAGCAATATCAAATATAGAATASCACTTACAAAACTTAGAATTAGTAATCATTCTTTAGAAATTGAAGAAGGGTGGTATTCACGCCCAAATGTCAAACCAGAAGACAGAATATGTCCTCTCTCAAAAATGAAAGTGAAGATGAGAAACATTTTCTTCTCAGATGTTCCTTTTTCTCCACAAAGAGAAAAGAAATATTTGAAAAGATAGACAAATATCGAGTTTCTTCAGTACTGAAGACGAAAAGTTTCACTATATGATAAATCCAATTTCAAATAGATTGTTACAAAAAAAATAATCGCAAAATACATTATTATGAATGCTTTGAAATTAGAAAAAATGAAAATATATCATTAATGATATATACAATCATAAAATATGTTATTACATATAAACTCTAATGTAAATACCATTTACACAGAAGCAATAATAAAATATCTTGTATCTTGTATCTTGGGTGGGGAGGAGGGTGGGGGTGGTAAGAGCTTTTTTCTTATGCTTCGGTGGGGGGCTTCTGGCTAATTTTCTGCTTGCGAAATCTGCCGGGTTTTACGCCTTCCCCCCCCTCTCCTGGTAATTATTGCACAGTCCCTTAATTTGCTCTGGTTCATGAATTTAAAATTGCTCGTATCTCCACTTGGCACTAAGACACTCAAATRTAGCAAGAATGCATTAAAAATGATGCACTTTAAGAATATGGAGGCCAAGTTTGAAAAATCAGAAAAGTTCGTTTTGTGACGTCATCACTTCGGTATTCCATTGGGACATGAGAGCCCTCTATGTGTCACATCAGTGCCTTGTATAAGCACTAACATATATGGAMGTCGTGCGACAGACAGACAGGACAGAGGGACAGCTGCCCATTCAGCCATATATTACATGAAAATTTGAAAGTCAATGGCAGCGTTATATTACTAATACTGACTAATTCCATTGCCAAAAAAGTAAATTATTCTGGTCTGATGGCACTGTGCAAATCGCCTATTCTTTAGCTCAAAATCTTACATTACCTCACTATCTATTCCAAGCAGAATAAGAACAAAGAAGAAAAGAACTGACCATAGAGGTGCAACTGGCATTTCAGCGATGGCTGCAGGATACGCTATAAATGCTAGTCCGGGCCCTAAAAGTCATGAATATAAAAACAAAATTAGATCTTATTGTCTATTTGGTCCTTTTTTACGCTATATAAACGATACAGCTTTCACTTGGGGCAGAAGGAGCGGATTCAGAGGGAGTTCCAAGGGTTCCACGGAACCCCCTAGAACGTCAAAAAGAAAAATATAAATAAATAGAATAAATAGAATAAAATAAAATGAAAAACGTAAATTCTTATTGAAACATATGGGCTACCTGTGCCTATGAGCGCCTGCAGGACATTGTATCAGCGTTCTTTTCATTTATATCGCGTTCCAATCTCGTACCCCGAGCCTTTGTTCTCTAGGACAGCGCCGAAAACGTAAGACTCTGGGGAATCGCAATTTTCTGTGAACGGCGACTTTTCTATTATAATTGAGAGCGCTGAAAATGCTTTTTTTTCCAATGTAACGAATAAAATACGTCCTTTTTCAAAATTTTGCAAATTAAATCATTTCTTAGTAGACGTCACTTCATTTGCATTTTTTAAGTTTCAATTGCCGATAACTTACATTTTAGAAAATACAATTTCAATTCAACATTTCTTCACAGACTTACTTAGCAGCATTTTCCGTTTTGAATGCGAATTCATGTGCACTATACGTTACCTGCCATTGCAACATCACTAACTTCAACGCCCTGTTTATTTGCCAGGAAGCCAAGCACAGAGAATATGATAAACCCACTGTAAATACTAGTGAAGCAGTTTACTACAGCATATATAATA